GGATAATCCCATCTTTGAGTATGTTCCAGCAAAGGTTCAAGAGAGTGATGAAGTTTCTCCTCCGGTTTTAGTGACCACCCGTGCACAAGCTGCACGACCACAGCCAGCTGACTCTACTGCTACCGCTGTCCCTCAAGACCCTCAGAAACTACCTCCGAATCTGACCACGTTGAAGTTCCGTAAGTTACAGAGGGAAGATCTTACCTTGACACCATTATTCTTCCAGGCTGAGACTTACCTGACAGTATTCCTGGGTTCTTCCTAGAGAACGAGTTGCTCTACCGCAGATACAGACCAAGTAAACTGAAGGAGGAGGACGATTGGGCCAACGTCGAACAACTAGTGATTCCTGCCAGCCTGCGGCCCACTATTCTACACCTGGCCCACGGAGCACTCTCGCACTACGGATTTAACAAGACCTACCACGGAATCCGTCAAGACTACTACTGGCCAGGTATGGTAAATAGCGTCAGTGTCATACATGTCAGATGGCAGGTAAACCGAACCTCTCTATCCCCAGAGCACCACTGAGACCCATCCAGGTGCCTGCGGAACCTTTCCACAGACTTATTATAGACTGTGTTGGTCCTTTACCTCGGACCAGTTCTGGTAACGCCTATATACTAACCATCCTGTGTCCTACCACCAGGTTCCCCATAGCAGTTCCAGTAAAGAACATTACGGCTGCTACGGTGGTGAAACACTTATTGAAGATCTTCACCCAGTATGGATTTCCAAGGGAGGTTCAGAGCGACTGTGGCACCAACTTCACCAGTGATCTCTTCAAGAGGACACTGGAAGAGTTCAACATCACACAGGTATTGTCCAGCCCCTATCATCCTGCTTCACAGGGTTCTCTTGAGCGTAATCATCAGACTATTAAAGCACTCCTGAAGAAGTTTTGCAATGAAACCTCTAAGGATTGGGATAAGCAAATAGATTTAATAATGTATATATTTAGAAGTCTTCCCAATGAGTCTCTAGGAGTATCTCCTTATGAGATGCTCTACGAACGTAAGTGCAGTACTCCTCTCAAAGCTTTTAAAGACTCTCTACGTGATACCACCTTCAGTGAGCATCAGAATGTGCCCCAGTTTCTTCAAAACCTACAACACATTCTAGAGAGGGTGCATAATTTTGCTAAGGATAATCTATTGAAAGCACAGGAGAGGATGAAGACTCATTACGACCAGAACAGCAAAGTAAGGAAATTTAAACCGGGAGACTTCGTGCTGGCCTATTTCCCTATCCCAGGTTCTCCCTTGCAAAACAGGTTTTCAGGACCTTACCGCATCAAGGAGTGCAGAAACAACCACAACTACATTCTAGAGACTCCAGATAGGTGGCGGAAGACCCAGTTGTGCCACGTCAACCTCCTGAAGCTATGAAACGGTACTCCTCCCACTGTATTGATAACATATTCTTCCTTTAAAAGTCCATATTTCCACAGTGAGACCTTCCCTGCTTCTCCTCCCGAAAGCACTGACACTGAGTCAGCGCTTTCCAATTCGGAAATCCTCCCTGATCTTCATAACCATTTTCAGGAGCCTAATAGTGCTCCTTTGCCATATTCTAATCCTATTATCACCTCGTCAGATATCACCAAGCCTTTCATCCTCCATGTCGACGCCAGTGGTACCGGCATCGGGGGTGACATAATGCAACAACGAGGCGAGGAGAATATACCTGTTAGCGACCACAGCTACAAGGAACTACAGAACAATCGACAGGGAGCTACTCATCGTCCTGAACTTGCAGCACTTCAAACAATACCTGAAAAGTGCTCGTTCTACCACCATCAACACGGACCACAACACCCTACACTTCCTGCAGCAAGCCCAATTTAACACTCAACGTTTTCTACAATGGGCTTGATATCTGCAGAAATTCAACCTGGAGATCTCTACAACAAGGGGTCTGACAACATCATAGCCGACACCCTCTCCAGAGTCTATGAAGTAGAGCCAACTCCACCTATCACTCTACAACATGAAGACGTAACTTCTTCCGGTACCGCAGGCTTCGGGGGAGAGTTGTGACGATAATCTCTTTCAAGAGAGATTGAGCCTGTTCTTCCCTATATCATTCACGTCATTCAAGTACAAGATACTATATTGAAGATACGTCCACCAGTATCGCCAAACGTTTTGGCCAGGAAGCAAAGCGTACCTTGCACCACCAGACACGTCGGCTCCTCCGCTTGTCGTCAACGAGCAAACTACCCATTCTCCGCCTGCCTGCTCCTGATTGGCTGGTGTATCGCCGACCGCACCTGCACCTGCACTCACGCCCCCCTACCTGAGTCGACGTCTGGGCCAGCACAGGCCGTACTCCTCAGAATATCTCTGTGCTCTTAGGAGTTGACATCTCTCTCTGGTAGACAAAGCCCTGGCTGTCGTGTACTAAGGGAGGTGGCAGCTTTAGCCAGTATTCTCAGCACCTTATTATCATTATTATTGTCTTGCACTTTATTTTGTTTTAGAGTAAATTTTACACCTATTAATTATTCATGTTGTTTTGCTTGTTGACTTGTTTTGAATTTTACATAAGCCAAGGGATTGTCTTTGTTCATATCTTGTTTTCTAGAGTAATTAAAATTTCATTGTTTATACTTTGTGTTTTGTGTGTCTTCCCATTACCTTACCACAGACAAACAGGCAAGCAGTCTCTTTTTTTTCTGTAAATGTGACAAGGCATTGCCACCTGCCATTAGAGGACTGCCGAACATCAACACTCCAACACTTTACAGTCTCAATATATATATATATATATATATATATATATATATATATATATATATATATATATATATATATATATATATATATATATATATATATATATATATATATAATTTTAAATATGACCGAAAAAGTAAGATTAATAATTCTAACACGAATTTTCTCAATCTTTCGTACATTACGCTTCACTGTTGGAGGAAAATCAAAAATCACTTCTCCAAAATTCATTTTTATTTCTAGTCTGACGCGACACGGGCGCGTTTCGTAAAACTTATTACATTTTCAAAGACTTCACAAATACACAACTGATTAGAACTTGCGTATCTCCTGATTTTATATCTACATTTGAGTGAGGTGGGAAGGGTGATGTGGCATGATGTGAGCATTGGGAAGGAAGACAGAACATTAGGGGATATTAATAGGGTATTAAAAGTATCAACACAAGACAGAACACGAAACAATGGGTATTGAATAGAAGTGTTTGTAGAAAGCCTATTGGTCCATATTTCTTGATGCTTCTATATTGGAGCGGAGTCTTGAGGTGGGTAGAATATAGATGTGCAATAATTGGCTGTTGATTGCTGGTGTTGACTTCTTGATGTGTAGTGCCTCGCAAACGTCTAGCCGCCTGCTATCGCTGTATCTATCGATGATTTCTGTGTTGTTTACTAGGATTTCTCTGGCGATGGTTTGGTTATGGGAAGAGATTATATGTTCCTTAATGGAGCCCTGTTGCTTATGCATCGTTATGCATCGTTAAACGCCTACAGGGCTCCATTAAGGAACATATAATCTCTTCCCATAACCAAACCATCGCCAGAGAAATCCTAGTAAACAACACAGAAATCATCGATAGATACAGCGATAGCAGGCGGCTAGACGTTTGCGAGGCACTACACATCAAGAAGTCAACACCAGCAATCAACAGCCAATTATTGCACAACTATATTCTACCCACCTCAAGACTCCGCTCCAATATAGAAGCATCAAGAAATATGGACCAATAGGCTTTCTACAAACACTTCTATTCAATATCCATTGTTTCGTGTTCTGTCTTGTGTTGATACTTTTAATACCCTATTAATATCCTCTAATGCCACATCATCCTTCCCACCTTACTCAAATGTAATGCCACATCACCCTTCCCACCTCACTCAAATGTAGATATAAAATCAGGGAAACGCAAGTTCTAATCAGTTGTGTATTTGTGAAGTCTTTGAAAATGTAATAAGTTTTACGAAACGCGCCCGTGTCGCGTCAGACTAGAAATAAAAATGAATTTTGGAGAAGTGATTTTTTATTTACCTCCAACAGTGAAGCATAATGTACGAAAGATTGAGAAAATTCGTGTTAGAATTATTAATCTTACTTTTTCGGTCATATTTAATAAAATATGTCTACAGGAAAGACTGCTACCAAAATATACTAATATATATATATATATATATATATATATATATATTATATATATATATATATATATATATATATATATATATATATATATATATATATATATATATATATATATATATATATATATATATATATATATATATATATATATATATATATATATATATATATATTTCTTCCTCTGATCTCCCAATCTCTGATCAGGTAGGCAGAATAACTCTCATCAGCTAGACTCGTTTCTCCAGGCTACCTGGGGTCATAACACAGACTCCATACTCAGTTTCAAACGTATTTATGATAGAGTTCAATGGGCTCAGGAACCTGTACACCAGCTAATTGACATTTGAGAGGTGGGACCAAAGAGCCAGTGCCCAACCCCCGAAAGCACAACTAGGTGACTACACACATGCTGCCCTCCATCCCCCTTTCATTCTCACAAGAGCCATTAGCATCACTGATTGCTGTGTTGGTCACGCAGGCACCACATACAATCAGATTATGCAAATGTTGTAATGCGCGGATAATAGAATATGCTAAGTGTTGTAACCTTGCAAGTGACGTCAACCAAGTAATGCAGGCAACTATAACATCATCAATATAACTCGCATAGTTGTCTGCGAAATGTTTCTATACATTTTTACAAATATTTGTCAATAATGGAGGACATTATAACACTGATGATGTTCTTGTCACGATCCTTGTGAGAAATATTTATAATGAATATTCAAGTGAAGAAATTGAGGGATTTTTCTTATTGTTACTGAAAATAAATTATTTATAAAACAGTTACCAAAGATTAATTTATATATTTTTAAATTAATAAGTTGAGAGGATTGAAATAGATTATAATGATGTTCTCATAGTCCCGAGGTGTCGGTGGACATCTTGAAGACTAATTAACATGAAGACTGTTTGAGATTTGAGGGTCTTCTTGTCAGGTATATTGAGAGGACAATCTGTGTCAGATGTATCGAGCGGACATTCTGTGTCAGATGTATCGAGCGGACATTCTGTGTCAGTTGGAACGAGCGGACATTCTGTGTCAGCTGTATTGAGCAGACATTCTGTGTCATATGTATCACGGAAACATTCTGTGTCAGATGTATCGAGTGGACATTGTGTACCAGATGTATCTAGGGGACATTCTGTGTCAGATGTATCGAGGGGACATTCTGTGTCACATGTATCGAGCAGACATTCTGTGTCAGCTATATTGAGCAGACATTCTGTGTCATATGTATCGCGGGGACATTCTGTGTCAGATGTATCGAGTGGACATTCTGTACCAGATGTATCTAGGGGACATTCTGTGTCAGTTGTATCGAGGGGACATTCTGTATCAGATGTATTGAGCGGACATTCTGAGCCAGATGTATTGAGGGGGCATTCTGTACCAGATGTATCGAGTGGACATTTTGTACTAGATGTATCAAGCAAACATTCTGTACCAGATGTATCCAGGGAACAATCTGTGCCAGATGTATTGAGGGGACATTCTGTGCCAGATGTTTCGAGGGGACATTCTGTGCCAGATGTATCAAGCAAACATTCTGTACCAGATGTATCCAGGGAACAATCTGTGCCAGATGTATTGAGCGGACATTCTATGCCAGAAATATTGAGGGGATATTCTGTGCCAGGTCTAGTATCGTGAAGCGGATCCAATAGTTTCAAGTTGGTTTACTTGTTGTCCAATAGATTAGCGAACATAATCAAGTTTAAACTGGCTTTTACGAAGTAGCTCTAAGTGTGCCCCATGGTGTATGATACTAAATTTTTAGTAAAAATTTTGTTTGTATAATTTTATGATATTAAAGATCATTTTGTGATGAATTCGTGACTTGAGTGTTTTGATATGGTTTACATATAATATTTAACTGATAAATATTTGTTTTCGTGTCACTTGTATCCCGCAAAATGTGACTCACAAATGTCATTGATAGACAATCAACTTTTTTCACTGTTTTTTTCTATCAATTTATCATGTAATAAATAATATGTAACCATAATATTAAATGTTGTTCAACATTTCTCTTGTTAATTTTTCATTTCTCTCTCAACAAGAGAAATGTTGAACAAAAATACCTGCATAATAGACAAAACCCAAGATGCAAGAAGATTACAAATTCTGAAGCAATTCACATAAGAATAGAACAACCTAACATGAACACCCAAATCACGGAACTATTTACTCTACCCACCATGAGAGTAAGGACAAGACCAGAACATAACGATGCCAACACAGAAGACAATGTTCAACATAACAGGCCAATTACACTGGATTAATCTTTGTATGCAGATAGAAGCTGCCTCGTATGGGCCAATAAGCGTTCTGCAGTTACCTCTATTCTTATGTTTCACCCCACATTTATGCCTTATGTATCCCCCCATGTTTTCACCTTTATTGTCTTATCATCTGACCCAGAGCGGGTATAAAATCAACCAGCCCTGTAAAATCACTTCACTTGAGAATGAACCAATGAGGTTCGAAACGTTGTGCAAATTGTATAAATAAGTGTAATACATTCTAAAGTAATTCACTTCTTTTCTTCACCTTAAAATTACGAAAATGAGTTTTGGAGAACTCCTATTTCAGCTAAGCCCTGATGCTAAGAAAATAGTTAGAGGGATAGAAGACCTAAACCAGAAAATAATAAATACTGATTATGTGGTCATATGCAATGAAACATATATATATATATATATATATATATATATATATATATATATATATATATATATATATATATATATATATATATATACATATATATATATATATATATATATATATATATATATATATATATATATATATATATATATATATATATATATATATATATATATATATGTTACAGACCCGAGCCCAGCGTCCGAGAACGGAGCTGTGACGACCACACCATATGTGGGTCAGCTCCCGAAACCCCCTCCAAGTGGACGACGCCATCTAGTGAGGACAGGATATACCGGCCACAGGGGCTGGTTTCCTGTCCTAATCAGCTCGTGACATAGCCGCTGCTGACCTCTGGTGAGGTGACGCTTAGATAGCAACGCCATCTATGGAGTGGATAGGTGGGCGTTTGCGTCTAAGCCTGTAAGTGAGGTGCCCTAGAGTGCAACCAGTACTAATGACGTGTCTGATTACAGAGTCGACCCTTGACTGCTGAATCGGATGGTGAATCAGTCTACCCAAGGCAGCCGTAGAACCTGCACGCATTTGCTGCTGAAGCTGTGAGTCACCAACCCGTTCTCGCAAATTCGTAAAGTCAATATTGACTTATTAACTACGTGCATAGGTGATATACTAAACATAATAGATACCCTTAAAAAGCTTCATAGAAAACACCGACCTTACCTAACCTTGTTAGTATGTTAAGATAAGCATCTTATTGCTTCGTAATTACAATAATTACTTAACCTATACCTATAATAGGTTAAGTAACAATTGTAATTACGAAGCTATAAGATACTTATCTTAAGATACTAACAAGGTTAGGTAAGGTCGGTGTTTTCTATGAAGCTTTTTAAGGGTATCTATTATGTTTAGTATGTCACCTATGCACTTATTTAATAAGTCAATATTGACTTTACGAATTTGCGAGAACGGGTTGGAGTCACCCCCCGGATGAACACTGTTGTGTTAGCCTGCCTGTGAGGTGGCAGAACCAGGGATTGTCGTACCCAGGGCTGACTGGTGGAGAAGACTAGCCACTGGGGTGTTGTGGTGAGGAGAGTGATCTGTGAAATCACACGAGGCTCCTGCCTAGGCCTCGCAACCCTAGTATCGGTCGTGGAGTGGCCTAACCAGCGGAACTGATTGGAACCTGCCAGCTACAGGCTGGATTTGTGGATGAAGGCCTCCACGACGGTGCCCCCAGTGGAACTGTGATTTGGCTGGCCTGTGGCCAGGGTAGACTCGAGAGAATCGAAGGATTCAACGTGAGGCCACTAGAAGAGGACCAGGGCTACTCCTCTCGAGCACCGTGGAACATTCCTGCATCTTCAGAGGAAGACCATTCAGTATATCATAGTGTTTACACCCCCGTGAGACTGTTTATATATAAATTTATGGTGGTGGTGTAATTATATATTTAAGTTTAGTGCCTTTGTCTCCCTTCTCCTTTAATTTACTTGCGTTACTGAACGCACCCCTTGAAAGCCACTACTAGCTTGGGGCCGGATACCCTACCTCTAACAACATCAGAGAAAGAACCCAGTTGCGACCCAATAGGGCCGTAACAATATATATATATATATATATATATATATATATATATATATATATATATATATATATATATATATATATATATATATATAGTGGAACCTCGATTAACTAGCATTTCCAGTAACGAGCGAGCCACTCGCAGCAAATTTGTCTCTATTGGCGAGCTTCACCTCTATTAATGAGCAAAACCACATGGTGCTTCCTAGCGTCTCGCGGGTCCTCGCAAATTCTCGGACGCCTCCGACGCCAGTGTTGTTGTTGTATCGCACACGACAAGCATCCCTCTGGATTTATTTGCGCTTTTCTTTGTATTTTTAGTGATTTTGTGACTACAATTTGTAACGCACGATGTCGCCAAAGAAGCTGCTTGCTAAAGATAGTGTTGTCAAGAGGAAGAAAGACACAATTACTGTGGATTTGAAGAAGGAAATTATAGCAAAGCATGAGTGTGGTGTCTGTGTGACTGATCTCACAAGGGAGTATGGCAGGTCCTCATCAACAATTTATACCATTAGAAAGGGAATGAGGAGGTAAGGGAGGATGTTGCCTCTTTCACTGAGATCTGGGAAGTGTTGGGAATGTTTGAAAAGGTGAACGCGTTCTTGGAAAAGCTGCTCTGATAAAGCAGTGACAACCCGGTGTGTGAAAATGTTTAATTAATTTATCACTTTGTGATAACACTTTGTGAAAGTGTTATCACTTTCGCAAGTATATGTCGCTTTAAAGTGACACTTTTTTCTCTTGAATGCACCCAAACACCGCGCTCAAGTGTCATTTGAGCAAATATTTCTATAAAATCTAATTCTTATCCGATCGACTTGGGGATAGTATAAACATGTTTGCCATGAAATTTCTGTTTTCTCTAATAGCCACATAGCCTATTTGGGAGAACGGCATTATATTGTATCTATGTGGTAAGACCATTGTATTGTTGACACGGCGAGTGCAATCGATGTAGTTTTTTATTTGGTGCTGGTCTAACGCATCCTTGTGTGACATTTGAAATGAAATTTGGGTGAAATTCCCAAGAAGAGAGAATCCGTCTGACTCAGAGGTGGATTCTCCTTCTACACCATAACCCCTCTCCTCCTTCCAACCTCCCCATCGTCTCCCTCAAGCCAACAACTACTCTTCATAAGGTAAAGTAAACATCAAAACAGTATAACAAAACACTTATAATTACATGTGCAGTTATATATTTACATAAAAAAATGTCATACAAGTATGGATGTTTTTGGGAGTGGAACGGATTAAATTTATTTTCTTTATTTTAAATGGGGAAATTTGTTTCTTAAGAAGAGTTTTCCAGATAACGAGCTATATAACAACGTTATATAGCTCCATATAACAACGTTATATGGAGGACCTATGGCAATTCCACGACCAAGAGATGGCTTCCTGAACCTTGCAGGAATCAACCTCACTGAGGACCACGTCGCTCTCCTAAATCTGGGTATAAACTGTCACGTTATGTCCAGACCGAGTGAGATGGCCCGGAAAGTGGAGTTGGAGATTCTGTTGGACGACATATTCGACCTCAAAGCACAAAAGAAGGTTACCACCAAAGATACCTTACAAGCAGAACTTATTGCGGAAGGAGGAAAGAATCGAGGCAACTACAGAAGCACCATACTGTCCCCCGAGCTCAAAGTGGCAGCTAAGAGCCTTCGTGAGAAAAGGAGATAGTTGTCAGGAGAGGCGACAAGTCGCCAATATACGTCATTCTTAAAAAAGACGAATATCTGGCGAAAATGAACCTCATACTCTCTGACCAAACTAAATTCCAAAGGGTAACGAAGGACACTACAGCCGAACTGAAAGCAAAGGTCAACAAATTGATCGAAACTGTGAACGCCAAGAAATCTGGATTCCACCTGCCAAAGATTATTGGGGAATATAAACCTGGATATGCGTATGGAAATGTCAAGACACACAAGCCTGGAAACCCACTTCGGCCAATTATCAGCCAGATGCCCACACCCACGTACAGACTGGGGAAACGACTCAACGGCTTGCTGACTCCTTATGTCCCTTGCGCCTTCAGCCGGAAGTCTCCAAAGGAATTTGTTGACTTGCTGCGGGGAACACGGGCCACAGAGCCTCGTTGGACGTAGAATTTCTGTTTACCAACGTACCTGTGGATGAAACAATCGGGATGATAACCGACAGAGTGTACCTTGATCCGGCCTGTACTCCTCTTGACATACCAGAAAACAGTCTAAGGAAACTACTCCAAGCTTGTACTAAAGAGGCACCCTTCTTGAGCCCGGATGGACACATGTATAAGCAAGTAGATGGGGTCGCCATGGGTTCTTCCCTAGGTGTCCTGTTTGCAAACTTCTACATGGGTACCATCAAGCAAAAAGTCTTAGT